TACGAAACACATTGAAATTCGTCACCTTTTTACACGTGACTTATCAGAAAAGGGAAAAATCAAGTTGAGGTTCTGCCCAACCAAAGAAATGGTTGCAGATATCCTGACCAAGGCGCTGGCGCCCACACAGTTTGAAATACTTCGATTCCTCATGGGAGTTCGAGACCTTGGTGTGGCCTGGAACAATGAAGAGAAAAATGTTCTGTTTCAGTGGAGTTAGCCGCGTCATGACAGATCAAGTGGGAGTGTTGAATATAAATATTATCCGTAAATTATTCCGGATGAGTTTCATACTGATTTACAAAGTAAGACATCAGTAGTGTCGCTTGCATTAGGTCACTACATTGGAATGAGCGGCCAGCATCGTCTGTAGATGTAACTTGAGTGATCTGCATGACACAGGTCTATATTATTCAGGGATTGGCTTCTCTCTGTTTGACATCCGTCAATGCCACGTGACGTCATAGCTAGCAATAGTTCATTAAGTTGGTGCGATGAAGCAGAGGCTTGGGTTCACTTTGGAATTGCCCTTTAACTGAGCACCTTAATACCAACCCCTTTCAACCCCACCACTGTGTTGCCCGCGTTCATCTTAGTAGGTACCATAATTGATGGCTCCTTGATGGCTGCATTTTGGGCGTCGGTAGACGTTCGGCGGGGTGGCGCTGTGTTGGATGCTCCTTTCTGAATGAAGCTTCGAAAAGTGGAAGCGCGCGAAAACGAAACCGTCATTTGAGGAGGACCAGCAGAGAACATCGTTGGTCGAAATATATCGGATGCTGCGTAAAATATATTAACGAAAACTGAAATTAAACGATACTTGGTTGAAGTATACCGCTGGTTTGTTGAAATATGTACATGTACCTGAAGTCTCTCCACGAAATTAAATGGAGATTGCCGAAATATATATAGGGGTCTCGTGAAATATACTGCAAGCTAAGCGAAATACAGTGAAAAAAGAGATGAAATTAACCGCAAAATGGTGTAGCAATTAATATGCACAATATATAGCCGGTTCTGCCTACAAAGTAGAATTATCTCGTAAAAGTTCGTACATGTAGTGGAATGCTCGACTTGCATGTTTTATGATGCCATTTATAAGTTCCTTGGAGTAAAGTCTACTTTGGTGACGTCACCGTGTTGTATTGGGAGTTGAAAACAACAAACCGCAAGTTGTACCATAGACACAATACAATTTGACTTTTAAGTCGAGCTCTTGGCTCCTACTTGCCACACGACGGCTTGACGTCTCCACCGTTGAACACGGTGACTTCCTTGGCGAATTGGTTGATGCCTTTGTATACTTCGAGGCCGCGTGTCGGGATGGTCGTCACGTTCGCGGTAAAATCATCGCCGATAATTTCAATCGTCAAGGCGGGCTTTTTGAACTCACGGAACGCGTAATCTGGGAACACCCCATACGCCAAATAAAATCCGTGCGCCGGTTTAGAGGTGTACGCCCCCATGACGCTTTTCAATCCACGGCCGAGGACGTCGAACTTCTCGTCAAACCCCCCGCCGAGGGGTTCCCTCGTGTCTGCGTACGCGTAAAGGATGAGGGCCCCGTACGCGTGAATGTCGATGAAGCCTTGGATTTCGCCGCGTTTGGATAGGAGCCATTCATTGATCCCAGCGGTTTCAGGCTCACTGAACGGCTTAAGTCCGGGGTAAATTTCGTGTTTTTTGGCAGGGGGCTTGGGGTTCTCGAAGGGAGTCGGCCAGTTGCGGTTCAAGTCGACTTCGTTGGCATTCTTGCGCTGGAACCGCTTGCCGTTCCAGGTGAGGGCGTAGCTGTCAATGTTGACGATCGGCACAAAGTACAAGTCGTACTCGTCGGCGGCCGTGGGTTTGTTGTTGGCAATGTCATCCAGAATCGACGCGAGAGAGTACAGAATCGACGACCCCGCGATCCATTCGCGGGCGTGTTGCAGGGCTTGAAAGTACAGCGACTGCGAGTGACCCTTAGTCAGCTTGTACCCGTAAATCGTGGCGTTCTTGTACGACTTGGAGATGGCAAACTTGCTCAGCAACTTCGGGTTTTGGGCGACCAACGCATCGGTGAACTCGTAGATTTGGTCGACTGTGCGGAAACAGTTGTGGAACGCACTGGTCGAGTACTCTCCGGCTTTGAGGGACGGGATGTAGTTGTCGTTTTGTTTGTGACACTCGCGGTTCAACACGGAATCGTCTACTCTAGCAGCATCCTCCTTCAACGATCGAGCGCGGTCGTCGATGTCCGCGACGGCGTTGTTGGTTTGGGCGGTGGCCGCCGCAGCGAAGAGGGCAATGGCACTCAGGAGGGAGAACTTCATGGCAAAATGAATAATGAGGAATGGTATTGTGGTCTGTCGAAACGCCCTGCAAAGGGTTCGTGATGTGTGGTAGGAATTTGGATGGATTTCTCAGACTCATATACAGGTGTTGTAATGCCCTTGGCAGGCATGTTTGAACCCACTAAGCTTAATAACCTTAGGATACCGATACAGTATTCCGAGGTCATTGTTTCTGATCCATACGTATGCGACATCGTAGACATGATATATTAGTATACTGTAGTACTAGTTAGTATCTGATTAATATAAATAATCAATTCTTGCCCACACAGTGAGAATAATTCCGTCAGAGCAACAGTTCCACTGTTTCTTACGTAGTCATTTCTCTTCAAAAGAA